TACTGGAACGTATATAACCAGTTTCCCCTCAGAGGCTGTGGTCCAATTATATATCAGAGCAAGGGTGGCGAGTCGGTGAGAGGTGATGGTTTGTTTTTTCTATGTGGGGAAAATTGGCCTGTGTTGATGTTTATAAGCATGAGGGAGATGGGACATTGTGTACTTAGCCCAACTTCCCCTTTTCTGTGAAATTTTTTCTTTCTTGCACAATTCACTAATCCAGTTGGCTCAGCCCTGCCACCCAGTGGGCCAATTCATGTACTGTCAAGAACCTTAGTCCAAGAATTGTCTCAAAATCATAGCTTTTCTGTGACTTGAAACTTGGCCCAAATGGCTCCCTGAGAGGTGAAGCTGATTCTTTGCTCACGAGGAAAAGCAGCAGAGGAAGGACTACGGAGATCACGACTGCGGAAAAAACCACACGGTGAAAGTATTTTTGTTTTTTTATCCAGACTGACATTTAACAATACCTTCTTTGTTAATAACATTTCTAGTGTACATAGAGACAACTGTACATGTGCTTTATAAAGAAATTGCACAGCCCTGGCCAGTGTGGCTCAGTTGGTGGGAGCATCCTCCCGTGCACCTGAAGGCGTCAGGTCCGACCCCCAGTTGGGGCACTGCAGCACACACGGGAGGCAACCTATCAGTGTCTCCTCCCACCCTTCCTCCTTCTCTAAAATCAATTAAAAAAAACAAACAAACTTGTACAAGCATTTGCTTGTCACTAGATAGGCCGGCAGATGTTTTTTAGAGTGTACATTGTGATTTGGAGAGCTCAAGTGACTTGCCTAGGACAAAATTCATCTGATTTATGGTTCAAAGATCTTTCTACTAGAATATCTCTGATTTTTTTTAAAAAGTCATCTTTTTTGTAAAGATTTCTCTGATTTCTACAAGCAGATTTAATTGCCACTTTTATATTCCTACAGCATGTTGGACATGCTTCTATATGTTATGATTACTGATTGTTTATCTTGTAATTATGTTTATCGGACTGTTCCTTCCCACTAACCTGAGTTCCTCAAAGGAAGGAACCACGTTGTCACGGCCTGGCAGAGTTTAGGTGCTTCAGGATTTCTAAAGGGTAAAAACCCATAGGATTATTTTACCCAGCCTGTTCCATTGCTCCTCCTGCTGGTTGTGGTTTCTTCTCTAATGCTGGTAGTATTTCTCCCTGGCTGTAGGCTTGGTTGTGGTAGGTGCAGATCCGTGACCTCCACAGAGAGAAAATAAAATCATGGCAGAACATTTTCCATTTCAGATGCTATAGTTTTAGCAAAGGGGCTTTCAATTCTTGGCTGGGATGAGGTGAGGTAAGAGGGCTAAATGAAGAGGCTGAGGAGTTTTTTAATACTCCGACTTAACTGGTTTCTTAGAGGTAGGATTAGAAGAAAAGTGCTGCATCAAGACTGACTACACAAAACTCTTGATAGTAAAATTATTGGTCACTTGAACCAATAGCAAAGAATGATTCCAGAATAGCTCACAGTGCAGGCAGGATCTAGTTATCCTTCCTGATTTCTCTTTTACTTTCTCAAAGCCCACCCTCCATCCAAACACACATTTTATCTCAGGAAACATATTTAACTTATTCCTTCCTATTAACTATTGGGAGGATGATGAATAATTTGGTTTGGGAGCAGGCAGAAAAATTAAGGAAGGATCTTTATTTTCTAATGTTCTGCCTTGCTTTCCTCTCCTTGTGCTGGTGCAGTTTCTTGGCACTGATTTTGAGAACCATAATTGCTGGGCCATGGAAATTCTGCTTCCTTGAGAAGAAATGTGGGAAGGAGCTTGCTATGGAGTCTGTGAGGAGGGTAGGGAGGAGGTGGGTGGGCCTGGGGAGTGGCTGAGGTGCCCACAAGTTTAAGAAGTTAAGGGGGCAAGTTATTTTATTTCTTAATTTAGAAAGATTAGACACAGCTACTCTTTTTTTTGTTACAGTAATTGAAATTTTACATCCCATTGTACCCCTACCTTCCCTTTCCTTTTACCTCATCCTTCCAGTAGAGTTATTGCACAGTTTTGGCTAAAGCAATATTCAGTGTTTACATTATCATCACTGTGTAAATAATATCCATGTGGAGCCAAGTAGTGTACTTTGATTGCTTTATGTCTTGAACGACCCTATGTTTTTTGTGAAGTTATAATAATTTAAACTATTTAGTTTACTATGTATCTATCTTAAATTTATTTTTGAAGTGACAATTCTGCCAAATATTTACTAATATTTTCTCTCATATGGGCAACCTATCAGATAGTCTAAGAAATTAATTTTCTTTTTCCTGGAGACTTGCCTCATCCTGAATAATTCTTTTTAGTCACCAGCGCCACCTGCTGACAACAGGTGGAGTTTTGGAAAGACAATTAGGAGGCACAGGGTTGATGTTTTTAAACCAGAAAATGTCCTTTTTCCTGGTTTCTGACCTTGAGAATGACAATCTGAAGGAAAAAATGTGGTTCTTATGACAGGCGTCGACAGGGAGGGTATAAAATCATAAAACATTCTCTTCTTTTGCCCCATCGTCTTTTTCTTTTCTGTGTTTTCCTAGAAGAAGGAAAGTCTAAGCTTTTGTCTGATCCACCAGAGGAAGAGGGAGAGGTGGGCTACCCACTGCAAACAAAAATTTATAGCTTTATTAGCTATACTTGATGCATGATAAACTACACATACCTAAAGTGTATAATTTCATGGTTTTTGACATGTATACCTATTGTTGCTACACTCAAGATAATGAACATGTTACTTGCAAACGTTTCCTCACACCCCTTTGTAAACCATTCCTCCCTCCCTCCACAAATCCCCAGGCAACCATTGCTCTCTTTTCTGTCACTACATATAAGTTTGCACTTTCTATTATTTTATATAAATGGAAGCATGGAGATGTACTCCTTTTTGTTGTTGTTTGGTTCTTTCACTTGCATTATTACTTTGAAATTCATCATGTTGTGTGGATCAGTAGTTTATTTCATTTTATGGCTTAGTGGTATTCTGTTGTATGGATTTACCACAATTGGTATATCCTTTCACTTATCAATGGACATTTGGCTTGATTCCAGTTTTTGGTTATTTCAAACAAGACTACTATGGACATTGGTATTAAAGTCTTTGTACAGAAACATACTATCATTTCTCTTGGGTCAATATTCAGGAGTGGAGTGTTTCAATTGCATGGTAAGTGTATACTTAAACTTTTTAAAAAAACTTCCCAATTGTTTTTACAAAGTGGTTGTACTATTTTACATTCCCACCAGCACACCTTGTGCTGAGAGCTGCACACTTTGTCAACAGTTGATATGGTCAATCTTTTTAATTTTAACCGTTCTAATGGTGTGTAGTATTTTCTCATTGTGGTTTTTTTTTTTTTTATTTGCATTTCCCTAGTGACTGAAGATGTTGAGCATCTTTTCAAGTGCTTATTTTGAACTACCCCTTTTTAAATACTTCGTTGGTAACAGGGCTAATCCTGAATTTTGGCAAAGGAAGCAGTGTTACATGACAGATGTCATTAAAGGGCCTCTTTCACCAGTTGGCTGTGAAATTTTTAAAAATTTACTAGAGATTCCCAAACCTGAGGGGTAAAATCACTCTGGTGAGTTAAGAGAACCAATGTAGGGAGCAGTTTCTTAAAAAGATGTTTCAAGTTAAAATGCCTATTATCTGAAAGTGAAGGGAGAGCCCTAGATATTTTTCTTCCCATTTCTTTCTATTAGGACAGGTTTCTATATTAAAGGCCATTTCAGAAATTAAAAGAGACTGTGCTTTGAGAGAATGGCAGAGTGGCTGTGGCCCTTGGAGAGGTGGAGAGGAGGAAATAGGGGATGAATTGCAAAAGAAGTTTGAAATGGCAGACCAGATGGGACACCCCGCCTGGTAAGCACTGGCCAGTGTGTATATGTGTTCTGGGCAAGCGGGTGAGGCTGGAAGAAGAGGGGAACGTAGTGTCAATACATGATTAGATCAGGGACAGGCCCCAGATAATAGAGTAGCTGAAGGGGGAGCCTGAGACCAGAAAAAAAAAGGGGAAATACAGAATGTAAAAGTTACCTTCTAGATGGTTTTTGTTCAGAGCAGCACTGTTGCTTTAGAACATCCTGGACCAGAATAGCTTCTATTCTCAAGTCTTCTCTTCTACAAACTAGATTCCTTCAACTTTGGGCTCCCCCACCCCAGCTCTCCTTCTGGATTTCATATGACAGAAGAAACTAGCTTTTGTGGTGGCAGCGCCTGCCACAGCTTTCCTCTCCTGCCACTCTCCTGACCAAAATTTAAGTGGTTCTCCATTTCCTTGACAGTACAGTGTAGTGATTAAGAGTTAAGGCTCTAGAGCTACACTGCCTGGGCTCAGTTTCTGGCTCTACCATTTATTAGCTGGATGACTGTGGGCAAGTTGCTTAATCTTCCTGTACCTCAGGTTCCTTATATAAAAATTAGGTGAGCCTGGCCCTATTGCTCCGTGGTTGAGGGTTGACCCATGAACCCAGAGGTCATGGATTGGATTCCCGGTCAGGGCACATGCCCAGGTTGTGGGCTCGATCCCCAGTAGAGGGCGTGCAGGAGGCAGCCAGTCAATGTTTCTTTCTCACTGATGTTTCTATTTCTCTCTTCCTCTCCCTCTAAAAATCGATAAAAATATATTTAAAAAAATAGAGATGAAAATACTTCCTTCCTTAGAGAGTTGTGAGGATTAAATGAATTATTTAAAAGTGTTTAGAATAGCCCTGGCCGGGTGCTTTGTGGGTAGAGCATCAGCCCATGCACAGAAGGGTTGCGGGTTCAATTCCTGGTCAAGGGCACATACCTGGGTTGCAGGTTCAATCCCGGGCCTGGTCAGAGGCAACCAACAACCCCCCCTCTCTTTTTCTCTCCCCCCTCCCCCACTTCCACTCTCTCTGAAAAGCAATGGAAAAAATATCCTCAGGTGGGGATTAACAAAACAACAAGAAGAACAAATTGTGTTTAGAACATTGCCTGACAGGCTTTAAGCTCTCAGTAAATGTTAGCTGTTAATTGAATTGAAACTCCTTGGCTCCACTTTCAAGGTGCTTCACAATCTGGCCTCTGCCGATCTCACCCTTCTAGTCCGTTACTTCTTGCCTCGTACATTTGAGTTTTGCTGGTTTCCGGAGTCGTGAATCTGTGCATAACTCCAGGTGCTTTCAGTTGCCTGGAAGGACCTTAACAATTGAAACCCTACCCAGTCTTCATATCACTTCAAATCCCATCTCCTCTATGACTTCATATTATTATTTCTTGAGTTCTCTCCAGGCATCTTCCTATCAGAATTCACAGTACTATAGAATTCAGTGAATCATTACGCACCCCTCGGTCCTTCATGTGAATCAGTGTTGTCTCCCTGATACCTGCGAACTTTCCGAGGGCAGAAACAATGTCTGAGTCTTCTGAGCCCTCTTTCAGCGGCATGAACACATTGTCTTTACACGTTTTCAAGCATCTATGAAGAGATTCAACATAGGCACAGAGGAGGCGTGAAGAAGCCATAGCTTTAATAACTGATTAGTTAGGGGTGGGGGGTGATGGTTTCTTTCCTATCTGTGCCATTTTCCAAAGGCAGGCTCCTTTCACCTAAGATCCAACAACCCCACTTCATTCCTGGACCAAGAAAGCAGAATACATCTTACCCACATATATTCATGAAACAGACTCTTTTCCCTAATCACTTTTCCGCTTCCCAAGAGAAAATCACTGTATTTTTATGGGTAATGATCATGTCTTCCTCTTTCAGTTCTTTCCTGTTAAAAGTCTCAACCCTTCCGTTTCCTACCAATCGTCAGGACCACTATCACCTCTGAGCTTGTAGGGGTGATCTCAGGAGTCGATGGGCTGGGACAGTGCACTCACTGTAAACGGGGCTGGGGAACTGGTGGAGTCCCTAGAGAGGTCTGCAGTGCAGAGACCCTGCCCAGAATCCTTATTCTGTGATCCATGCTCACCTCTGGACTGCAGCCCCATCTGACTGGTTAAGTGTTGTTGTTTCCTGTGTCCCCCAGTCCCCACTGTCCCTTCAGCGATTCTTTATGTTCTTCCCTGCCAATCTCTATCCCCAAATCATTTTCAAACCAATCAAGGGCTTGCTGGCCTACTTATTGAATGCAAAGCCAAAGAACAAAGAGCCCAGAAAGGAATAGGGCTGGGAGGGTTGCTGAGGAAGGAGGAATCCCGGCATCTGAGGGGAAGAGATGCAGCTTTTCTAAGTCTGGCAAGAAGGCTCGGGCATCCTCTAGAGCAGCCTGAGCTGCCACAGTGAAGTTGGGGTCACCAGAGATTAAAACATCAAAGACACAGGAATGAAAGTAAGCATCTTCGACTGGCAGCCCTTCCTTGCACAGCCGCCTGGCAGTGTCAGTGCTTATAGCTCCCCGGCGAAGACTGCGCTCCGAGTGAGAGAGTCGCTGACTCGGGGGGCACCCTCCAACGCAGAGCTGTAGGTCCTGCTCTGCTGAGAAGGCCCTGGCCACGTCCTCCGCTACCTTGATGGAGAAGGCCAGCTGCCCAGCTGTCTGCCGAATAATTATAGTTGTACCAATATAGGCAGCCTGGATCTCCACGTGGCTGCCCGGGTTAGTAGTTCGAATGGACAGACTTGAGCCCCCAGGCCGGTCGCCTCCATTGACAGAACCATCTTCAAAGGCTGCAGGAAGATTGTCCACCTCAGCCTGGTAGACCTTCTGATCAATGCATTCCTGCATGTTCTTGAATATGATGGTGAGCTGTGAGGGCAAGAGGGAAACAGTTCATTTCGGGTTCAGGGTTCAGGGCACCCGTCCCCGGCTCCCAGTCAGGCCTCTGGGGCAGGGACCGGTGCGAGGCTGGGCAGGGCCGGCCGGCCTGGCCCTCGCTGTGCCCCAGGACGGCCTCCTCTCCGCTCACCCCTCGCTCCCCTAAGGCCTCCGCCTCGGCAGCTCCCACAGGGGAGGGAAGGGCTTCCCCAGCAGGGCCGCCGCCGCTCGCGCCCGCCCGCCCCTCCCTCCAGGGGTTTCCAGTCTGAGCGAAGTTCCCACGAGGGGGAGTGATTTCCAGGAGCAGGTGCGCGCAGGGGGCAGTGGCCGCGGGTAAGGGAGTGGCCGCGGGGGGCAGTGGCCACGGGTAAGGGAGTGGCCGCGGGGGGCAGTGGCCACGGGTAAGGGGGTGGCCGCGGGACGGAGGGAATTGGGGGCGTTGCCGAGCAGTAGCGGGAGTGGGGGGAGTGGCCCCGTGGGGTGGCCGTGGGAGGACCCGCGGGGCGACCGAGTCCTGACCTTCCGGGTGGCGGTGGCGTTGGCCCCCGAAGCCACGGGGGAGCTGGTGGCCTGGACAAAGAGGAAGTCATTGTCCAGCAGGGGCCACGCTCCTTGGACGCGGCACGTGTGGAAGTGGTGGTGGAAGCTGCGCACGTGGGGGTCCCCGAAGGAGGCGCAGTGCAAGAAGCCCGGGGGCCGCCCGTGCAGCCGCGAGAAGCGGCCGAGGTA